AATCCAAGACCACATCAGAAAAATTGTACACTATAATCAAGTAGGCTTCATCCCAGAGATGCAGTGATGATTTAACATATGACAATATGTCAATGTAATCCACCATATAAGCAAAGTGAAAAACAAAAACCACATGATCATCTCACTAGATGCTGAAAAAGTCTTTGACAAAATCCAACACCCCTTCATGATAAAGGTCTTGGCAAGATCAGGGATAACAGGAACATACCTAAACATAATAAAGGCAACATACAGCAAGCCAACAGCCAACATCAAATTAAATGGAGAGAAACTCAACGAGATTCTTCTAAAATCAGGAACAAAACAAGGTTGTCCACTCTCTCCATATCTCTTCAATATTGTACTTGAAGTCCTAGCTAGAGCAATAAGACAACAAAAGGAGATCAAGGGGATACAAATTGGAAAGGAAGAAGTCAAACTTTCACTATTTGCTGATGATATGATAGTTTTAATAAGTAACCCGAAAAATTCCACCAGGGAACTCCTATAGCTGCTAAACACCTTCAGCAAAGTGACAGGATACAAGATTAACTCAAAAAAATCAGTAGCCCTCCTACATATAGACAATAAATGGGCTGAGAAAGAAATCAGAGAAGCATCAGCCACAAATAACATAAAATATTTTGGGGGTAACTCTAATCAAACAAGTGAAAGAACTGTATGATAAGAACTTTGAGTCTTTAAAGAAAGAAATTAAAGAAAGTATCAGAAAATGGAAAGATCTCCCATGCTCTTGGATAGGTAGGACCAACACAGTAAAAATGGCAATCTTACCAAAAGCAATTTACAGATTCAATGCAATCCCCATCAGAATTCCAATACAATTCTTCACAGACCTCGAAAGAACAATACTCAACTTCATATGGAAGAACAAAAAACCCAGGATAGCTAAAACAATCCTGTATAATAAAGGAACTTCTGTAGGTACCACCATCTCTCCCTGACTTCAAGCTGTACTATAGAGCTATAGTAATAAAAACAGCAGAGTATTTGCATAAAAACAGACAGGTGGATCAATGGAATCAGATTGAAGACCCTGATGTAAATCATACTTATGAACACCTGACTTTTTTTTTTTTTGGTTTTTTGAGACAGGGATTCTCTGTGTAGCTTTGGAGCCTATCCTGGCACTTGCTATGGAGCCCACGCTGGCCTTGAACTCACATCGATCCACCTGCCTCTGCCTCCCGAGTGCTGGGATTAAAGGCGTGCGCCACCAACGTCTGGCTGAACACCTGATTTTTGACAAAGAAGCCAAAATTATAAAATGGAAAAAATAAAGCATCTTCAACAAGTGGTGCTAGCATAACTGGATGTTTGAATGTAGAAGAATGCAAATACATGCATATATATAACCCTGCACAAATTCAAGTCCAAATGGATCAAAGATCTGAACATAAATCCAGTTACACTGAACCTCTTAGAAGAGAAAGTGGGAAATAGCCTCGAATGCATTGGCACAGGAAACTACTTCCTGAATATAACACCAACAGCACAGACACTAAGATTGATAATTAATAAATGGGACCTCCTGAAACTGAGAAGCTTCTGTAAAGCAATGGACATGGTCAATAAGACAAAACAGCACCTAAAGAATGGAAAAGATCTTCACCAACCCAACATATGACAGAGGGCTGATCTCCAAAATACACAAAGAACTCAAGAAACTAGACATCAAAATACCAAATAATCCAATTAAAAATGGGGTACAGATTTAAACAGAGAATTCTTAACAGAAGAATCTCAAATAGTGGAGAAACACTTAGAGAATTGCTCACCATCCTTAGCTATCAGGGAAATGCAAATCAAAATGACTCTGAGATACCATCTTACACCTGTCAGAATGGCTAACATCAAAAAACGCAAGCAATAGTCTATGTTGGAGAGGGCGTGGAATAAGGGGAACATTTTTTCATTACTGCATGTATTTCTGTGTGAAGGTGTCTGATCCTCTAGATCAGTTTGTCCAGCCACTTTGGAAGTAAGTATGGCAGTTTCTTAGAAAATTGGGAATCAATCTACCTCAAGGCCCAGCTATACCAATTTTGGACATATACCCATAGGATGCTCAATCATGCCACAAGGATACTTGCTCACCTGTGTTCATAGCATCATTATTCATAGTAGCCAGAACCTGGAAACAACCTAGATGTCCCTCAACTGTAGAATGGATACAGAAAATGTGGTACATTTACACAATGGAGTATTACTCAGCAGAAAAAAAACACACAAAAAAAGAAGAAACAATGACATCTGGGGCTGGAGAGATGGCTCAGAGGTTAAGAGCACTGGCTGCTCTTCCAGAGGTCCTGAATTCAATTTCCAGCAACCACATGGTGGCTCACAACCATCTGTAATGAGATCTGGTGCCTTCTTCCCTCTTCTGACGTGGAGGCAAATGTGCAAGTAGAACATTGTATACATAATAAATCAATTAATTAATTAAAAAAGAAACAATGACATCAAGAAATTTCCAGGCAAATGTATGGAACTAGAAAAAAATCATCCTGAGTGAGGTAACCCAGACCCAGGGAGACAAACATGGTATGTACTCACTCAAAAGTGGATATTAGATATAAAGCAAAGGATAACCAGGCTACAATCCACTGCTCTAGAGAAGCTAGGTAAGGAGGACCCTAAGAAAGACATATGGATTTCCTTGGGAAGGGGAAATAGATGAGACCTCCTGGGCAAACTGGGGGTGGTGGTGGGAACATGAAGAATCAGGTTGGTCGAGTTGGGGTCCGGATGGAGGGGGAAAGTAATGAAAGAGATATCTTGATAGAGGGGGCCATTTTGGGGTTAACAAGAAACCTGGTGCCAGGGAAACTCTCAGGTGTCCAGAAGGATGACCTTAGCTAAGACTCTTAGCAATAATGGAGAGGGTGTCTTCGCTTAATCAGATTGGTGACTACCCTAATTGTTATCAGAGAGCCTTCATCCATTAACTGATGGGAGCATATGCAGAGATCCGCAGCCAAGCACTAGGCTGGGAGTCAGTCAGAGAGAGGGAGGAAGGATTATATGAGCTGGGGGGGGGGGCTCAAGATCATGATGGGGAAACCCACACAGACAACCTACCTGAGCTCTGGAACTCACAGACTTTGGACGGATAGCTAGAGAGCCTGCATGGGACTGACCTAGGCCTTCTTCATGTGGATGACAGTTGTGTAGCTTGATCTGTTTGTGGGGCCCCTAGCAGTGGGACCAGGATCTGTGTATGAGATGGCTTTTTGGAACCTGTTCTCCATGCTGGGATGCCTCACCTAGCCTTGATGCAGCAGGAGGAGCTTGGTCCTGCCTCAATGTGGTGTGACATGCCTTGTTGACTCCTCATGGGAAGTTTGCCCTTTCTGAAGGAGGAGTGTATGGGGGGGAGATAGACAGGAGGTGGGGAAGAGAGGAGGGAGAGGAAACCATGGTTCATATGTAAAGTGAGTGAAAAAATTTAATAGAAAAAAAAGAAAGAAAAGATGGGGGCTAGAGCAATGGCTCAGTGGTTAAGAGCACTGGCTGCTCATTCAGAGGATCCAGGATCAATCCCCAGCACCCACATGACAACTCACAATTGTCTGTGACTTCTGTTCTAGGGGATCAGACACCCGCACACAGAAATACATGCAGGCAAAACACCAATGCACATAAAATAAAAAAGTTTAAAAATGGAATACTATCAAATAGGTAAATATTTTGGAGTTTACCGTTCAGCTCGTTCGTTTAAAATTGAAGAAGCAGGAGATGGTAAGATGGCTCAGTGGGTAAAGATACTAGTCAAGCCTGGTAAGCGGAGACTGATCCCTGTTAGCTACACCGTGGAAGGGGAGAACTGACCCCCGCAAGTTGTCTTCTGAAGTCTACACACTGGTGCTGCAAACATGCATATGCACACGTGCTAAATAAATCAAGGATTCAAGAATATGAATAAAAACTAAAAATTGAAGAAGCAGAAGCCTGGGTGATTTCTGTCCTTCACTTTTGCAAGGCTGCATCACTTCCTGATGGAATAATAGGCAGGTTTTGCCTGTGTTTACCGCTAAACTGGGTCATCTCTAGTCAGATACTGGGTGGAGCCGGTCTGAGGTTTGCTCTGACCTCACTGCTCTCAGCTGCTTTTGCTTCTTTATTTTTCTGGTGATGAGGTGACCTGTTAACTGGTTGCTCTAATAGAGATACCTTTGAGTTACTACAAAATCCCCATTGTTTTCTGGAGCAATTTTAGACTTCTTCCACCATATACAGACAGTTTCGGTCTTTGAGCCACTTTCATCCTAGGTGAAACTGTAACAGCAGCAGGCAGGGAAAGTAGCCTGTTTCTCTCAAGGTGGTACCTTTTCATGAGGAAGTCGCTGAGTGTGGCAGGCCCTTCATGTGGTTTTGGCTTCTCTCTCTCTCTCTCTCTCTCTCTCTCTCTCTCTCTCTCTCTCTGTGTGGCTTGATTTCTGGCTTGGCTTGCTTCTCTTGCATGGAACCTGTGACCCAGAAATAAGCAGGGGAAAAAGCAATCAAGGTCCTGGGGTTCTGGACCTAATGGCTGGTGGGAAGAGCCACCACTGTTTGCAGAGGGGCTGGGTGGAGAAAGGATGGCAGCCTCTGACTTCCTGGCTGTATTCACCAGGGTTTTAGCTTCAGCAATCCAGAGCTCAGGGAATGCAGGGATGAGGTGGGGCAGGCCTTGGTGGCCTTTCTTTATGAAACACTGTGAGTCACAGGAGTAAGAACCCTGTTTCCTGGGCTGCATCCATCTCTCTCTGTTAGGGTGTGGGGGAGAAGATGGGTTGTGAATCTAGCTTTTCTTTTTTGGGGGGGGCGGAGCAGTTTGTAATAAGTCTGTCCCAACAGGAAGCAGACCTGTGATATACATCACACTGCCATTTGGGAAATCTGAGAATCTTTTCATTTACTTACTGATTTGTAAATTTTCTTTGGAATGGAGAAATATCTATTCTACAAATTAACCAGATGTTTTTTTCTCTTTTTAAAAAAATCTGGAATGCATCATGAATTTGCACATCATCCTTGTGCAGGGGCCATGCTAATCTTCTCTGTATTGGTCCAATTTTATTAAGTGTGCGGCCACAGAGAGCACAACCTTTTATTATTAAATTGTAAGAGTTCTTTTCACACTCTGGATACAAGTCCTTTATTACATACATTTTTACATACAGGTTTATTTTTAAGAGAGAGAGAGAGAGAGAGAGAGAGAGAGAGAGAGAGAGAGAGAGAGAGAGAGAGAGAGAGAGAGAGAGAGTCTATGTGTGGGTGTGAGCGACATCAGAGGCCAGAAGTGGGCATCAGATCTCCAGGAGCTGTGGTTACAGATGGTTGTGAGCTGCTGAACATGGATTCTTGGAACCAAACTCAGGTCCTCTGCAAGAGCAGTGTTTGCTTTTAATGAATCAGCCATCTCCTACCCTCCTTTGTGATATACATGATTTGCAAATTCTTTGCTTCAGGGTATTTTTTTTTCTTTTTTGTCTTCTTGGCTATTTACTTATTCTACTTATTTGTTTCTTTCTTTGTTTCCTTTGTCCCTTCCTTCCTTCCTTCCTTCCATCCTTTCTCTCTTTCTCTCTCTTCTTTCCTTCTTTCTTTCTTCTACTCTCATCCTCTTCTTCTTCCTTGGTTTTTAGAGACAGGTTTTCTCTGTGCAGCCCTGGCCATCCTGGAACTCACTTTGTAGACTAGGCTAGCCTTGAACTCAGAGATCTGCCTGCATCTGCTTCCCAAGTGCTGGGATTAAAGGTGTGCACCATAGGTGGAGAGGTGCTACCAAGGAGTTCTGTGGCTATTGAGGCTGCACCACAGCTAAAAGTAAGTTTGGGACTGGAGATGTGGCTCAGTGTGACATCCCTCACCTAGTGTGCAAGAGGCCTGGGGTTCTACCAACAACACCAAAACAAAAACTGGCTGTGTAACAGTGTAACAAGGCCTATGAAATTAAATTTTATCCAGGAAGTTCTGTGCCAGAGTGAAAAGCAGACTGTAAAGAACTGGCCAAAGGAGGAGCTGTCTTACAGGAAAAGATTAATTTCATAGTTCTGGTTAACTTATCTATCTCATCACCAAGTCTACATGTGCAGACTATAAATCATATGCTGGCCTTTGTTTTCTCCTCTGAGGCAAGCTCTTATGCATCTCCAACTAGCCATGCGTCAGACTCCTTGAATTCCAGACCATCCATCCTCTACCAAATGGTGGGATTACAGGTGTGGCTAACACACCCAGTTTATGCAATGTCAGGAACCAAACCCAGGAGACACAGCTACACCCCAGCATCTTATGTAGGTTTTTGTTTAATCCTTTCTGTAAATTACAATATTGCTACAGACAAGGTAGATATAAGCTAAGAATCTTTCCTTTTGGGTCCAAAACTGCAAAGAAAACCATTCTTTTTACTGATTCAGGTCTTCCAACTTCTGGCTTAGTGAAGTGGGGCATGGGACATGAGGTTCTGGTAACAGCTGTGAACGGAGAGTCTGAGAGGCAAGGTAGAGTTGGGAGAGGGAGCTGTGGAGAGAAGGGGCCCAAGGAGATCCGAATCTTTCCCTGTATTTGGGGACAGGGTCTACCATGGCTCTCCCAGGCCCTACCCTGGAGCTATGAACAAATAGACTGGATCTGTACCAGCAGCTGCTCAAGGAAAACCCCTCAAAGGTGTCAGGGTGAATCAGCCCTGGCACAGCGATTTATTTAGTTATTTAGTTTTGAGAAAGGAATTGTTTGTGTAGTCCAGGCTGGCCTAATATTAGGAATCCTCCTGCTTCTGCTTCCTGAGTTCTGGGATTGCAGGCATGGGCTGCTGCATCTGCCTGCCCTTTTATCTTGCAAACATTGAGCAGGAGTTGCCAGCCTGGGCTACCCATACTTCTTGTAAGAATGAAGTGTGTTGGGAGCCTGTGCTATAATAGGAATAAACCCATCCTTTCTCCACCCCTCCCCCAATTCCCTCTATACTGAGTAGGTCACACATAGAGATTCTTGTCTTTTGGGGGTGGGGGAGCTCTGAAGACTTGTATCAGGTTTACCAACACAGCCCTTATGAAAATAGCCAGCCACAAGCAGGAGCAGCAGTGCTGCCTGAGACCCATGGCACTTGCCAGGCCCCTCCTGACCAGCTTGCCTGATTTCTGTCACCATGCCACCTTGGACTCTGTCTATGGGTTCTGCTACCCACTGGGAGGGATGGACAAAGTCTGTTTATCCTGACGCTTGGCAGCAGGTACAGGTGAAACGGCCTGAGAACAAAGGTGCATTCTGACATCCCAGAACCAGTTGTCAGAGGAACACAGCCACAAGGTGACAAAGCAGCCGATAAACAGGGAAGCACACACAAGCCAGAGCCAGGGACAGTCCCCGAGTCTTCCTCTGTTTACTGGCAAAAGCCATACTTTCTGAAGACTGGCTGAAAATAGAATCTCCCTGGGCCTGGCTGGCACAGTCTTTGGAACCATGAGGGCAAATCTGAGTGCTGAGGGATTTAGTTAATATTCAAGCCATCTTGCCAGCCAAGCTGCCAATTCAACATCTTGGGGTCTATTGTTTTAGTCTAATGACTCAAGGGAGGACACAAGTGTCTCACCCTGGCCACCAATAGTATCCTAGGGAAGAGCCATCCTGGAAGGAATGAAGATAATCTGAAGAGACACCTGTCCCCTCCTCTCTGTCTAGCAGACTACTGGACCTGAAGAAAGTGTAACTTTCCTAGGAGTTGAGAAGGAAAAGGCTGGGGTGCTGGTGCCAGCCAGAGGGCCCATTTGTCTTCTGGAAATAAATCTCACAGTCTGACAACCTATCAGCTCACTTTGCAGGCAAAAGACTGGAGTCCAGACAGGGATGATGGGCAGGACCATACCTTGACCCAACTCCTTAGCTGAGCAGACCTCTTGCCCTCCATTTAAACCCGAGCCTCATGTCAGGTCCCTAGCGGTGGACTTTTGAGCTGTCACAGGACTTCTGGTTCCTCTTCCTGATGTGGCAGCACTCAACAACCTCCTGTTCCTGCTTTTCATCAGTACTTGTCTGTTTACTTGCTTATTGGGATGAGTGGCTGAGCACAGCTCGTTCGGATTGCCAGGGCTCAGGCTGACCTGAACAATTCCAGTAACCAGGGTAGAATGAAACAAACTGCCCATTACTCCAGGTCTGTCCCTTGGCTAGGTCTGCCTAGACCCCCAGAGGAAATAATCTGTTCAGCCAGAAGATGAAGTTGTTGGAGTAGCCAGCCCCATACTGGCTTAGTCAGTGGCCCTATTTCCTCCCCATCCTCGGAAGCTCCCTATGAACTTGGAATGGGGCCCATGTTCCTCTGGAAACTTGGCCCACCTTGGGGCTATGAGTGAAACCAGTGTCAGGATGCCAGGAAGGGTGGCACAAGGCTGGTGCCTCCAGGGGCACAGGCCCTTTATGCAGGTTCTGTCTGAGGGAGTGGTCCCACACTCACCCTCCTTATCCCTAGACTCCCAGCTTCAGAAGAGGACAAATGCAGCTAGGATGGGACAGCAGTCCCATCTTAGGCTGCTGAAATGTCTTTCCAGCAGGTTGGCCCACAGGACACAGGACTCCCTGGAATCCTCTGAAGCACAGAGCCTAGGAGAATGTGGATCAGGTTCACATGAAGCTACCTCAGTGTTTCTAGTTTGTGGACTAAGGCCAAGCATACCTAATGGTGTTCTGTGAGGAAAGAGGACACGCAAGAGCCAGCCCATGCCCATGCCCTGCCCTTGCCTGTCCTCTCTGCTCCTTCAGCCTCAGGACAGGAGGCACTGGAGTTTACTCAGGAATAGGCACCGAAGGACTAAATCATGACCTGGAGATAGAGTATGACCACCAGGGAAGGTCTCAGTGAAAATCACCCATTGTCACACAGATTGTTTAGCGCACTCAGGGTCCCTCCTTCCCCAACAGAAGCTCCTAATCCCAAGTCCCACAGAGCCTTGCCTCTCTCTGTTCCTGCACAGACACCACCCTGTGGGTAACTTAGCTATGGGATAGGATAGACTCTCCTTTCCCAGGGTGATCACAGACTCTTCCAGCCCAGAGTCCAGAGACAGAAAACCCTCACCTTGTATTTTTACATTTTGTCCCCTTAAAGTGAAAAATAATTTGGTTCAAGGTCATATAGCTGGAGCTACAGAATGTCAAGGACAGTATTAGACATAACTGATTAAGTCAAATAAATAGGAATAAGTCCATGCAAGCATGAATAAATATGCACAAAAACAAGTGGCTGTGGAAGGAAAGCATTTATTTTCTAGAATCATCTCAGATTGTGGCTAGTGACGGTCTGGAGATCTGTGCTAAACTCAGTGGGTAAAAGTTTGTATTATCTCCAAGTACATCCCTCCAAATGTTTATTAACTATAAAAGGGAAAATACTAACAATAATAGTGGCAAATCCAGCAGACACCAACTTATCCAAATGATTGATGTTAACATCACCAGTGATTAAGAAAGTGTCAGCATTATATACCTGCCGTGAGGCTGGGAAAATGTAACACTTCTGTTGCATTCTTACCCCAAACTGCATAGCACAATCTGATCATGAGAAAAATTACGCAAACTCAAGTTGAAGGACATTCATTAAAACAACACATACAAAATACATTATGGTCACAAATGATCAGGAAAGGCAGAAAAACTGTCTCCTATTAGAGACTGAGATGTGACAGCTGAGTGTAGTGGGATGGGATGATGGACTGGATCAGAACACAGAAATAGGACTAGTAGTACTTTGACCAATGCTAATTTCCTGGTTTTGATAAAGACACTATGTGTAATTTAAATTGATAACACCAGATCTGGGTGTGGCGGCACATGTCTGCAAGCCCAGCACTGGGGGCCAGAGTTAAGAGGAGCCCAACCTGGATTATACACTGAGTTCCAGGTCAGCCTGAGTTTTAGAGTGAAACCCTGTGGGAGAAAAACAATAAATAAATTGCTAAGGTCAGAGCTAGCTAGCTGGCCGAAGTTATTTCAAAGTAAGGATAAGAAATTTGATTCTTGCACTGTGTTAAATATGTGAGGTCTTATCTACGTGGGTTTGATTACAAAACTAATAAAGTATTCTCTAAATAAAAAATAAAAAAACACAAAAAAAGAAATTTGATTCTTAGTAACTACACAGGCGTGTACCTCACACACAACCCTAAAGGGAGAAAATTACCTTATCTGTGGAAGCACACAGAGACAGGTGTGTTCACATGAGAGTCACAGTCCGGACCCCAGATTCCTATCTCCTGGCTTTTATGAAAGGTATTTTTCCTAGACTCCTGTCCTCGTGTGGGAGGGTCCAGGGACAGTCAGATGGACTTTTCTCTTCTGAAGGATGTCAGGGTGTGGAGCACAAGGCAGAGGCACATTCTGAGGACATTCCTAGCCTTGTCAGCTAGGATGTAGGGACCTGTCAGGGGCCCTGGGCTCAGCCTGTAAGGATGAGGTCATTTGTTCACTGTCCCTGGCTAAGTCAGCATGGGTTCTGGCACACATCTTGCTCTCAGAGTCTTGTCACTACAGGGTTCAGCTTTCATCCATCAAAGTTCATCACCTTTTCTATCTGCCACAACTCAAGCCTGGGGGAAAGCTCCCCAGATGCCCACGATGCCCAGACAGAGGTGCAGGCAAGAGTGTGATCAGGGTCTGTCCTTAATGCTACTCACTGCTCACCTGTGATGCCATAAGTGATAGAGCTCATCCACATGAGGCCACCTCTCTGGAAATAGACGCTATTCATCCTCTCTTTAAGAAATTGTATAAGAGGGTTGGAGAGATGGCTTACAGGTAAGAGCACTGGCTGTGTAAGCACTAGGCTCTGAATGAATACTCCAGCACTCATGTTTTTTTTTAAGATTTATTTATTATGTATACAACATTCTATCTGCTTGTATGCTTGCACACCAGATCTCATTATAGATGGTTGTGAGCCATCATGTGGTTGCTGGGAATTGAACTCAGGACCTCTAGGATAGCAGCCAGCGCTATTAACCTCTGAGCCATCTCTCCAGCCCACCAGGACTCATGTTTTAAAATGCTGGGAATGGCTATGTATGCCCTGAAACCCATTGAGCAGCAATAACCCACAATTAACTCATATCCTACCCCCTTCTTTTTTTCTACCTTCCTCTTCTCTCTTGAGTCTTAATACAGAGTCTCACTATATATCCCAGGCTGATCTTGATCCTCTTACCTCACTCCCCTCAGTGCTATTCCAGGCATGTGCTGTCCTGTCTGTGTTTTACCTAAGTCTTGTAAGTGAAGCAATGCGTTTGTGTGACTCGCCTGTTTAAGTAAGCATGATATCTTCATCAGTCATTCACAGAGCCTGTGCCTACCACTTGCTTTCTCTCAGAATGGGATAAACTCCATTGTTCATATATACAAGATCTTGTTTATCCATTCAAGCAATTGATGGGGATCAGGGTGTGTTCATCTTTCGGCTTATTGAGAACAATGCTGATATGAACATGAATGTGTAGGTAATTTGTAATATTTATTAATTGTTAATGTGCACTGGGAGAGTGCAGGTGTCTGAGGTGGACTTACAGGCAGTTGCAAGCCACCTGACTTGGATGCTGGCAACTGAACTGTGATCCTCTGCAAGAGCAGTATGTGCTCTTGCACTGAGCCATCTCCCAGCCTAACAACTTTTTGTGACCCTGGTTTCAATTCTTTTAGTGTTTACCTACAAGTGGAAAGGGTTGATTGTATTCTATCATTATTAATATTATTTGACTGGTCTGGGACTCATCATGTAGCCAAGGATGACTTTGGGCTTCTGCTTCCATTTCCTACGTGCTAGGATTATAGGCATGCACAGCCACACCCAGTTTATTCTATTTTTAATTTTTTGAAGGACAGTGACACTCTTCTCATAGCAGCTGTGTCATTGTACCTTCTTCTGTGGTTTGGGTTTTGTTTTGTTTGGGGGACAGGGTTTCATGCTGTATCTCAGATTGGCTCGGATCTCAAAGCAATTCTTCTGTCTCAGCTGCTTGGGTGCTGGGACATGGGCTGGATCTTACATGTCTCTCTAAAGGTATTTACTGAAGGCTTGGCTCCCCGTTCAAAGCTGCTGTGGGTTGGTGGGCTCTTGAAGAGGTGTGTCTGTCTGGGTGGAAGTGAGGACTTTGGAAGGAGATTTGGGGACCCTGTCTCTTCCTCGATCTCTCTCTAGCACACACTCTCCATCAGGGAATGCTGCCTCACCACAGGCCCCCAAAGCAACAGGGCCAACTGATCACAGGTTAGAACCTTGTCTCTTTATAGACTGCTTGTGTCAGGTATTTGTTGTAGTAACTGAGACTGAGTGACATATTCTCACCAGTAATAGGAGGGAATTCCATCTTCCCCATGTTCTCCTCAATACTTGTTTTGTGTCTATTTTGGTTAGTTGCTACCCAGACTGTGAGTTACTACCCCCTCTGGAGAGACCCACCCCACCCTACTTACCCTGCTTCTCACTTCCTTTCCTTCTCTTTCCAGCCACTGGTGCCCTTTGCCTTTTGCCTCCCAGCATCCAAAACAGCAAGCAAGGGAGAGAAATGCCTCTGAGCAAAGCAAGTCATAGTGTGTATGAGTATGTGAAGAAGGAGTCATTAGATGTGCCAGAGGCCCCTGAGGACCATACAGTGAGGCACCTATGGACTGGGGAGCTGGTAGTTACCCGCCTTCATACCCTCAGACAAACAAAACCATCCAAGAGGAGGACAGCAGCCAGGTTAGATCAGACGTTTGTGAAGGTTGCAGCCTCCAACTCAGATGGAGGGAATAATTCTAGAACTGAAGGATGAGCTGGCTCTCAGTCTTAGATGCCCCAGGGCCAGGCACAACTGGAGAGGCATGGCCACCTGAGGACCAAAGACAGGCATCGTGCTAGTGTGAGGGACCCAGAGGGGGCCACAGGCTCATCCACTCTCATGAGCCCTGCATTCTCCACAGCTGCTGCCCTTGACTGAGTGTTTTCTTGCAGGAGTGACTTCCACAGCCTTCTCCCAAACATGCTTTCTTTAGCAGTTAGATCAGACTCTTGCTAAGAACAGATAGGGCTGGGAGAGTTGGCATATATCTATAATTCTCTGTATCTAGGATGATCACTGTGAGTTCAAAGCCAGCCTGGGTTATTCAGAGAGCTATGGACTACACAAGCCTCTGTCCTGTGATCTTGCCGCAAAAGAAGAAAATAAAAACATAAATCATAGCCTTTCTGTTTCCAGGGTCCTCAAAACACACTCAGCTCTTCAGAATACCCACAAGCTGGCCCTAGAAGCAGCTCTAGCCTCTTACACTCCCCTGAACTCCACCTACCCAATCTACAGGGCTCCTAGTCTCAGAACCGGCCACCTTCTCACAATCTAAGAGTTCTTCCTGCCATATCTCCAGATCTAGTTATTTCACAAAGAGAAGGGAGTTTATTTACCCATTCACACATAAAACAAGCCATGATTTGAATGTTGACTTCTGAAACCCAAGACTAAGTAGGGTTGAAGTTAATTCTCTCAACAACACAGCTGGTATGCCCCCACAGGCATCTCAGCTCTGCAGGTGGACTCACACCCTAGCTGTCTACACCCTAGGGCCAGACACATTTTTTTGATGACTGCTATGTGGTGCTGAGGGAAAGAGATAAAGTAGGTGAGGCTGCTGTTAGTTGTCACCCCTCCCTTGGAAAGGGCATAAATTTTGTTGCTGTTGTTGTTGTTGTTGTTGTTTTTAATCCCCTCTTGGGAGAAAGACAGAACAGAGGCAGCATTTGGAGGTGGGAAAGCAGGAAATCCTACCAGCCTGGTCAACAGCAGTAAGTCAGTCCTTGGGGATGCTCTTTCCAGAAAGAGTGTCTTGACCTATTATCTATCACCTGGTCCTTAGCAAATGTGCAGCAGGAAACACAGAATGGGGAGCAGGACCACATCCAGATTCTGTGACTTAGGAACCCCTTCCCAGACTACTTAGAATAGGTGGTCCTAGCTGGAGCCCCTGCCCACCAGCTGATACTCCCCACAGGAATACCAGTCCCTCCATGAGTATCCAAAGGCCATGTTCTGCTTTTGGCTCTTTGCATCCAACCAGTGACAAGGTACAGCTGTCTCCTTTTGGAAAAACTGGGGCCTCAACACGAGGCCCTTCTCTGTCTCTGTGTCCATATGTGAACTCAACAGACCACCACATCCCTTCTCTCTGTTGTGGCAAGGAAATATCTCTGACTGTATCTCAAGGCAGTGTGGGGTTTGGCCTGCCCTGGGAAGCATTGAGGCTCTTGGGAAACTATCTGTTGTGAAACTCAGAAAGGAAAAGGCAGTTGGTAACAACTCGCTCTTTTCCACCCCCTGCATGCCACACAGCTCTGAGCCTGTGCTGAGAATGCACTCATAATCCCACTCTGTGCCTCGAAGGTTTGTGACGGAGTGAGACATTGGCCCAGGCACCGCCAGGGACCGTTGTGGGCACTGATGCGATGGAGTCTCCATTCCCAGTGTCTGTCTCCAGCAAAGCGCTGCCACCTACCTCAGTCACGATGGTGGAGAGGAAGACGTCCTTGCTGTACTCCCAGCCATCTAGGCAGCTCTCCTGCTCCAGCTGTTCCAGGTCCACATCCACTCCTGGTTCCAGCCCCAGGGCAGAGAAGTTGGCGATGGTGGCCAGTCGGTAGCGGCGGCAGCTCTGGGGCACCTGTCGTCCATCCTTCGTCTCCAACGGGATGCTGTGGTTGCGCCACGCGCTGCTCAGGTTCACGGTGTCAGGCACACGGCAACGGTGCTCCGGTGACCCTGCCAGGAACACGACTGACATACCATTGAAACCGTTGGGGATAATGCTGGCGCTGAGTAGAAAGAAGATGAGGCGCTGGAAGGGGCCCCACTCGCCCAGGAAGGA